GGCCTTTTCCGTAGCCCACACAGGGACGGGGCATGCACTACGCTGTTCCCGCATCCCTCTCCCTTCGGCCTCCATGCCATGCCTTACGTGTCACTCAGCGTGGCAAGGCTCACTGATGCCGCCCCGTGTTCTGGAATTCCATGGAAGGCTGAACAACGCCCCACTGTAAGCACATGCCACGTTTTTCCTACCCATTCCAACCACAGTGAGCGCTGCGATTGTTCCTGCCCTTTGCTCTCTGCCTTTAAAAAAATTATTTGTGGGGACCAGCAGTTAGCACAGTGGCTATGTCGCTGGACTCCCATATACTCGACTGAGGTTCGAGTCCCGGACCCAGTGGTTTAAACTCATGCCGGGCGAGGGGGCACGTGTGCCCAAGATCCTGAGAGGAGAATGGAGGAGAAGGGATTGTGGCGTGGCCATCCCCCTGGGGGGTGATTTCTCGCTTTCTCTCTCTTTCTTTCTGGCAAGCACACGCACCCTATAGCAAAAACCTCTCCAAAAAAAACCCTGTCATTATTACTATTATTTAAAAAATATCTGGTACAGGACACACACACTCACGAGAGAGAGAGAGAGAGAGAGAGGGAAAAAAAGTGAAAAAGGAAGGCGCCAGGTCCAGGACTTGAACTGTGGTCAGCCATGTGGGAATCCGGCACCCCATCCACCATGCCACCTGCTGGCCCAGCTTCTGCCTTTCCTGAATCCACTTCCCTGCTCTCGAATCTCTTTAAATATATATAAAACAAATGCTGAAACTCTGCCTTAGAATTACTTGCTTGGGTAAGCTCTGTGGCCTGGTGGTTGAGGTGGCTTGATCCCGCACGTCTGAGCGTGTGGTTCAAGTCCCGGATCTGGTGATCTGGTGGTTTGACAAACACTGGGTGCGTGTGCACGTGCTCTAGTCCTGACAGGAAGGAGAAAGGGAGGAGGGAACGCAGTGAGGCCGTGCCCCAGGGGAGTGCTGTCTCGTCGTCCCCGTTCTCTCTCTGGCAAGTGCACATGCCCTCTGGCCAATTAAAAACAAAGTAAGGATAAAATAAGAATAAGTGCTCACATCACAATAGCAAATAAACTCTGGGGCCTCCCAGGTTTAACTATAGCCAGCCCTATGGACAGGGGAGAGGGTATGCACGCCGGCCCCACAGGAGGGAGTACGCACGCCGGCCCCACGGGAGGGGGAGAGCACAGTATGGCCAGCCCCGCGGGAGGGGGTGGTGGGGGGAGAGCACAGCATGGCCAGGCCCCATGGGAGGGGGAGGTGGGGGGAGAGCATAGCATGGCCAGGCCCGTGGGAGGGGGAGGCGGGGAGAGCACAGCTTGGTCGGCCCTGTGGGATGGGCAGGGGGCGCACACGCACGCGGTGAGTGCAGCGGGCTCCGTGTGCCGCGCAGCATCTGCAGGTAGGCCTTCAACACAGGCATGAAAACCCTGGCTCACCCTCCACACAGGACGACACTATCACTCTGTTACAAGTGGCTGGCGCCACGGTTGAGTGATGGGCACTTGTACCCGGATCCACGTGGCCCACTGCAGTTCAAATCCTGGCCCCAGTGACTCAGAACATGCTAGTGTGTGTGCACGCTCCAAGTCCCGACGGCAGGGTGGAACAGAGGTTGGGGGCCGGCGGCATGCTCTCTCTCCCTCTCTCTGATGAGGGTAAGGAGGGTGAGTGCCCTCTGGCAATATACACAAAACGACTATGCGGGGGTCAGAGGGTGGTGTGGTGGCAAAGGTGCTGGACTCCCACATGGCTGACCATGGTTTGAGTCCTGGACCTGGCTGCTTAAAAATCATGCCAGGTGCATGCACATGCATGCCCCAAATCTCAAGAATGGAGTTGGGGGACTGTGGCATGACCTTCCGCCTTGACGGGGTGGATTTCTCATTTTCCCCATCTTTCTCTGGTGAGTGCACATAACCTATGGCAAAAACCTTAAAAAAGGCAGTGCGGAATAAAACCCTTGGAATTGAATGTCAGAAAAAGTTTGTTTCTCTGAATAAACTTAGTTTTATTTCATTTTTAAAAAATAATTATTTTATTTAACCATTCATTTATTTTAATTTGACCAGAGTGAGACAAAGAGAGAAAGAAGGAAAAGTGAGAAAGCAAGCCACCAGGTCTGGGACTTGAACTGTGGTTGGCCATGTTGGAGTGTCCAGTGCCTTAACCACCTGCTGGCCCCTATTTTGTTTTTAAGAGAGATTTTTGCTACAGGGAATGGCATTCACCAACAAGGGAAAGACGAGACAGAAAGTGAGAAATCATGCCCTGGGACATGGCCACACCACAGTCCCTTCTCCACTCTTCTCTAGGGGTTTTGGGCAGGCACACACAAGCACCCAGCTTGAGTTTTAAGCTGCCGGGTCTGCAACTTGAACTGTAGTCAACCATGTTGTGGGTCCAGTGATGTAACCGTTATGCCATCTGCTGGTCCCTAAACTTACAGTTTTAAAGATTCTCCTGTTTGTGCATAATCTATTATTCCTTTTTTTTTTTTAAACTTAGGAACTACTAAAAAGTTTGGACATTTTGTATCACATGGGCCATTAAAGCCCCCACCATATTTGCCCAATTTGCCACCCTTCAGGCTCTGCTGTTTGACAGGACTGTCCTCTCTTAGCCACCCTAAGTGCAGGGCCCAGGCGCCTGGACCCCAGGTGCCTGCCATGTCCAGCCTCACGGGCCTTGCTGCGCAGTCCCACCCCTGTCCTGCCAGCCACGACGTCCCTCTCTTGGGGTCGGGTGGCAGCCTCACTCGTTCATTTAACACCCACCTCCAGAGGACTCCACAGTCCCACACAGACATCACTGTGATGAGGTCGCAGCGTACCGCGCCTGCTCTGCTTCCGTCACCTCTCACCACTACCTGATCCCCTGGCTATTCGCCCTCCGCTCCTCCCCGCTGGAATGTAAGCGCCACAAAGGGAACTCGTCTCGTGCACTGCCGTGTTCCTGGAACTAAGCCTGACACAGAATGGATGCTCAGGAGCACCTGCCGGCTTCCGAACCATCTACCACGTAGACACGGTTAACCTACAGGGCAGAGACGAAGCCATGCGCGAGATTTGGGCCTCATGCTTTCAATGAAATGACTCAGTGTACACAAAACCCTATTGGAAGAGTACAGAATCTCTCTGAAAAACATAAAGAAAAGTTGTATCTGCTATCTTGAGGGAATTTAAATTTAACACTCTAAATAGAACCCATACAAATTCTCTTTTCTTTTTGTCAGAGAATGTGTGTGTTAGCCAGAGACAGAAAAGGAGAGGGAGGAAGAAAGCACCCTGCGATGGCGCATGGTCCCCCACAACCCCTTCTTCCTTTTCCCCGATGGCCAGGATCTGGGGCACACACACACCATGCACGGTGTATTTCTTACGTTGCGGGGCCAGGATTCGAACCACGGTTGGCCATGTGGGAGCTGGCTCACGTAACAGGGCTAACGTGCTGGTTACGTGCACTTAGAATAAAGGAAGTGGGGAAGCCCAGGAGGCCAGAACTGTGATGTCTGCATAGCCTAAATGCACTTACTTTTTCATGGAAACAGTATTAAAAGTCAAGTGCAGGGACCAGCAGGTGGCATGGTGGTTAAGGCGCTGGACACTCCCACATGGCCGACCATGGTTCGAGTCCTGGACCTGGTGGCTTGCTTTCTCACTTTCTCTCCCTCTGTGTCTCTCTGGTCAAATTAAAATAAAAGAATGAATAAATAAATTTAAATAAATATATATTAAAAAAAAAGTCAAGTGCACATGTGGTACTGTTTCATTCAAAAGTTAAGATAGTGGCCAGCCGCAGTGGCCAGTGGCAACTCCATGCTCGATGCCACTGGAGCCACCAGGAGGGCCGAGGGGTCACTTCCGAGGTGTCGCATGCTGGGCGAGCGTGTGTGCCCGTGGCCCTGCGAGGCTAGGCCGGTGCTGGGACCACTCCGCTCAGGTGCCATCTCCCTCTCATGGAAGAAATAAATACTTACAAAAGAAACAACAAACCTGGTCCACACTCACTCATGCAGAAAGATTGTTACTACACGATCTATCAGGTTCAGCCTAGAAATACAACTGTGGTCTGAGGAAACTGCTAGAGACGGGGGCTGCCCTCTGCTTTCCAGAGCTAGAAACAAAATTCGACCTCGTTACCACAGGCCTTGGCCTGGCCTGGGAAAACCACTTTGAGATACTGGTAAGATGCCAGACTCGAACAGTGCCAGACCTAAAAGTCTGACAGTAACACCTCTCCTTTTGTCTTACATAGACAGATTATTTTTGCTAGAGGTGCATACACTTGCCAGGGGGACAGGGAGGAAGGGAGAGAGAAAGCACCCCTGGGGGAGAAGGCCATACCGAATCCTTCTCCAGGACTTTGGGTATGCACATACGTGTGCCCAGTGTGATTTTCAAGCAGCCAGGTCTGGGACTTGAACCACTCATCTAGCCACGTGGGATCCACTGCCTTAACCTCCACACAACTTGCTCGCCTTGTACTCAAATTTTATCAGTTAAATCAACTGTCACCCACATCTCAGTGCCATGTTCCCGTGTGACATCTGGGACACAGCAGAAGCGAGGACACTGAGCAGGTACTGAAGGCACACCAAGAACAAGTACACGGGGCCAGCGGGTGGCTTAGTGGTTAAGGTGCTGGACTCCCACACAGCCAAACGCAGTTTGAGTCCTGGACCCGTTAGCCTGAAAGTCACGCTGGGTGCAGGTGCGTGCCCACAATCCTGATAGGAGAAGGGACTGTGGCGTGGCCATCCTCTGGGGCGGGGAGTGATTTCTCAGCGTCTGTCTATCCAGTGAGCACACGCCCTAGAACACAAATCTCTTTGCGTGTGAGCGGGAGTGGGGAGGCCATGACTGGACACGCAGATGGATACAACAGAGCACCAGCCAGAAGACACAGACGGCCAGCAACGGCCTCGGTGCACAACGGCCAGCAGCCGAGCCGTGCCCGCAGCACGGGGGCCCTCCGGCTGTGTGGGTCGCCCACGTACCTTCCACGGCCTTGACCTTCTCCTCCAGCTCCCGCTTCCGCTCTTCTCTGAGCATCTGCTCCTGCTCCTTCTTCTGCACGGCCAGCAGGATCTGCCGTTCCTCCTCCTCCTCCTTGCGCTTCTGCTTTTCGATTCTGGTAAGCACGGGGGTCTCCTGGGAGAGGCCAAAGAGCGGTCAGGTCAGTGTACGGTAACGCGGCCTGGCCTGCACACACCTGGTGACAGCACACGGCTGGGCCGACCGACTCCTGTGGGATGCGGGTGCAAGCAGATGAGCATGCTAATGCCACGGCACAGTGTGGACCCGACACGGAGATGTCCTGGCTTAGTGGGCACAGGCTTCGTGATACTTAGATCTTACGGGTAACATGCTGGACGGAAGAGCAGAGCGGGCAATTCAGACGCCATTGCTTTGGAGTCAGCACCTGCTCGACATACATTTTAAAAAGTATCTTCGCCTAAATACACTAAGGATGACATAATTTAACGTGCATGATTACGAAATCCTTAACATTTAAAGAATCATTTTAAATTTATTTATTTAATTATTTAATTTGAGGGGGAGTGGGGAGGGAGGGGAAAGGTGGAGGGGGGCAGAGAGAGAGAGAGAGGACGCGCGAGAGAGAAAGAAAGCCACCAGGTCGGGGACTCAAGCTGTGGTCAGCCATGTGGGAGTCCAGTGCCTTAACTACCACGCCACCTGCCGGTCCTAAATTTTATTCTTTACTGATAAAGCAAATGCACAGAACTGGGATGTGAGTTTGATGAGAAGAGCCTGTCTGTGGTGAGGTGCAGCGGACACCACACGGAGATGACTGCAACCACTGGAAGCCTGGCCAGCGCCTTGCCTTGACCTGCGCCCAGACTCGGCGCTCGTGCTGGGCTGAGGCCGGAGGCCCGGGTTGGGTCTCGGGCCCACCTGAGAGCCGAGTGCCCGAGCTTTTGCTGAGGCAGGAGGGTAATGTACATAACGATGTACATTAAACAAACCAAAACCCTCTTACATTTAATTGTTCTATAGGTATGCGCATGTGCGCACACACATGCACACACAACCCTTCTCTTCCCTGTGTTGTGGTGCACCAGTCCACGCCCCACAGGCCACGTCGGTGGGTCTTCTTGTGTTTGTTAAATGCTTTTTTCTGAGCCCCACTCCCACCCCATAATGTACTATCTTAGAAAACAAAAACGTTTAAGAAAGATTTCAGAGGGTCATTGGGAATGTGATTTCCACAGGAAATCTAATCAAAGAAAAGAAAAACAAAGCAGGGCCATTAATTAGGAAAATAGGCCCATTTTCCGTGAGTTTTTAATGAGCATCTTCCAGGACAGCTAGCTCCAAGCTGTGCTGCGGTCCAGAGCACGGCGCCCTATTTTTCATTTCTGCACTCAACTTCCGTGCCGACATAAAATCCAGAACTTTTCCTTTTTAAACATGGTATGAAACTGTTGCCTGCATGAGAGAATATTTAAAAATCACACAGACGCAGAGAAACCCAGGTGTCAAATACGAATAACCCCACCCTAGGTGAAGCCTAAACCCTGAATGCTGAGATCTCTGTGACACCGTTTTGCAAGGGAGAAGTCCTAGGACCCTCCTATGCCGATTTCAGACTGTGAGGTTGACAAGTGGTCTGGACGACGGCAGGAAAGAAGAACGCAGACCGCTGTTCTTCAGATCAAAATGTTGTATTATTCTTTATTTAATTTCATATATTATTATTTTTTTAAAATTTGACCAGAGAGAGACAGAGAGAAAGGGAAAGTGAGAACACAAACCTCCAGATCTGGGACTTGAACCCTGGTTGACCATGTGGGTGTCCAGCACCTTAACCACTATGCCACCTGTTGGCCTTATTTTTTTTCTTTATGGTTCTAAAAGCCACTTTAGATTGTCATTTGACCCACATTTGGAAATGGACCTGCCTAGATGGTAGCCTTTGAAGTCATTTTTACCGTTCAATTCTAGGAGCCTGACTTGGGGAAGAGTTTACAGAAATCCGAGAGGAGCAGGAGTGAAAATAAGAAATAAAAACGAATCATTCTTAGCTGCACACACTAACATACTCCTGAGGAGCCTGACTTAGCAGAGCAAATGGAATTAAATGCCATTCTTTAAAATCTTTGTTCTACAGGGCCAGCAGCAGGTGTGCCCGGTGAGGTGCTGGATCCACACGGCTGACTCCAGTCTGAATCTCAGACCCGGTGGTGAGAAAAATCAGAACTGGCAGCTGTGTGTGTGTACCCACAGCCCAGGGGAGACAGGGAGAGGGACTGCGGCACGGCCGATCTGCCTTGGGGGTGACTTCTCATTTTCCCTCTCTTTCTCTCTCCGGCAAGCTCACATGCCTCATAGCAAAACAAAACAACGCAAGACAAGACAACTTTGTTCTGTAAGTGGAACAGGCAGGTTCTGAAATGGGGAGGGCGTGGACACGTGGTCAGCGCGGCCTTCCCTGCATTCCCTGTGGCCCCCTCCTGCCCACTTCCGGGTCCCTCTTATTCCAGCTCTCTGGGATGCCCTCGCTGAGGACACAAGGGAGCAGTGAAGCTAAGCTGAAGCACACCGTGTGTTTGCCCCTTTCAGTTGGGAAGGGGTTTTCAAAAATGTCAGCCAGTACGTGCTGTGAGGGAGCTGTGCGTGGATTTCAGTACTCTTATTTTGCAGCAACATAAACTCGTAGTTTGCTTCCCAGGGACTTTCTGAAGTCCCCATGTGCAAGACTTCAAAAGAATCCCACGGGATACGAGCTGCGTAAAGGCAGGAGAGGGACCCCGCGCCTTCTCAAAGGAATTAATTCATGGGAAGAAGCTAGTGTGTCCCGTGTCACACAGAGTGAGGGCCAACGGAGCGTGCAGCATGACTGCACAGCTGCTCCTTAGGTACCTGCCACAGGGCGCGTGTGCTGGCCAGAGTTTGAGAGAGAGGGGGACAGAAGCACCCCCAAACGGGCCACGGTCACATCACATTCCTTTCTCTCATTTCTCCATCCTGCCAGGAGTTTGTGCACCCACACACGTATGCCCAGCGTGTTTTTCAAGCCACCAGAAATGGGAGTCAAATTGTGGTCAGTCACAAGGGTCCCAGCCCCAGGTGCACTGCACTATGAATTCTTCACATGTGGGCCAGTGGGTGGTATGGTGGTTAAGGCGCTGGACTCCTGCATGGCCGACAGTGGTTCGAGTCCCAGACCTGGTGGCTTGTGTTCTCACTCTCTCTGGTGAGTGCATGTGCCCTGTAGCAAACTTTAAAAAAAGAAAAAAAGTGATTAAACACAAACATTTCACATGTAAAGACACCTTATGAATCAACTAACAGTGTGGCTCACAAAGGAGGCATGGTAAGTCACAGAAGGCAGGTAAGTCACAAAACACGCTCGCCTCGATCCTCGTTCTGTAAGAGGCACACGAAGACAGGGTGGGCAGCAGGTACGGCTCCTGCTGTCTACCTGCAGCCTCCGAGTTCCCATGAGAACATGTACAATGGGGAGATGGACTAGTACGACACGTTCAAAAGTACCTTCACTTTTTACTGTTATGTGATCCCACTGGTGTTGGAGAGTGGCCCCACATCCCACAGAGCTGACTGAGTTTGGGACCTGGACCTGGCAGCTTGAAAATGAGGCTGGCCATGTGTACACGGGTGCCCCAAATTCTGAGAGAATGGAGAAGGGACAGCAGCACGGTCACCCCGGGGTGTGACCTCTCGCCTTCCCACTCACCGTCTCGCTCTTGCTCACTCTGCTGAGGGTGTGGGTCCTATGGCAGAAACCTTTAAAAACAAAATTTGCTAGAGGGTGTGTGTACTCACCACAGAGGATGAGGGAGAGTGAGAGATGACCCGCAGGGGATGGCTACACCATAGGCTATCCCTTCTCCTCCACCCTTGAGATTCTGGGCACAGATGCACACATGCCCTGGCGTGTTTCTCAAGCCCCAATGTCTGGAACTCAACACCACAGTCGGCCATGCGAGGTCCAGCACCTTAACCACCATGCCACTTAGTGGCTCAAAGACTTACTCTAGATAGTTCATATAAATAAAATAAAAAAATATGTAACTAGTTATTCTACATCAATATTTGTGCTAAGCATAAGATATACTTGAAGAACCTGAATTTATAGCACCTTTGAAAAACAAACCTGGGGACAGCAGGTGGAGTGATGGTTATTGGACTCTGACATAGCCAACTATGGTTCGAGTCCTGGACCTGATGGCTTGCTTTCTCACTTGCTTTCTGGTGAGCACATATGCCCTTTAGCAAAACTGAAAATAATAACAATAAATAGAATTAAATAAAGAATTCTTTTTTAAAAGAGGATTACTTTATTTAACTTTTTTTGGGGGAGAGATTTTTGCTATAGGGCAAGTGCACTTGCCAGAGAGAGAGACAGATAGAAAGTGAGAAATCACCCCCCAGGAGGGATCGCCATGCCATAGTCCCTTCTCCATTCTTCCCTTGGGATCCTAGGCACACACGCACACATGCCCAGCATGAGTTTAAGCCACTGGGTCTGGGACTTGAACCACGGTCGGCTACATGCGAGTCCAGAGACATAGCCATTATACCAACCTGCTGGTCCCACTTCACTTAACTTCTATTTATTTTATTTTTAATTTGACCTGGGGGTGGGGGAGAGGAAGAGAGAGAATACAGAAAGTGAGAAAGCAAACTGCCAGGTCCAGGACTCGAACTGAGTATTCCGCGGTCGGGAGTCCAACACCTTCTTAACCACCAAACCACCTGCTGGCCCCATATAAATAATTCTTTAAAAAAAAAAAAAAAGAAAAAGAAAAGAAAGGAAAACCTAAGACCTCCTAGAATGTCATGGAGGAGTGAGAAAGGCTGACTGCTCCCCTGCTTGGGAAATGGCTGCCTACGCCCAGGTGTACCCAGCTGTACCCTGCTCCTCTTGCTCGGTCCTTAGCGTGGTCCTCGCCCTGTAAGTACCACCTGTCCTCACTGCTCCCCCACTACCCCCTCAGCACCCTAAGCTATAAAACTTTCTGTCCCACATAATTTCTCAGCAATTACCAAAATACCAGGCCGAGCAGGTGGCGTGGTGGTTAAGGGCGCTGGACTCCCACATGGCTGACTGTGGTTCAAGTCTCGGACCTGGCGGCTTTCTCTCTTTCTCTCTGGTGAAATTAAAG